TCCCCCCCACCAATGGCAGCCCCACTTTCTATGAGGACTTCCAGCTCTTCTGCACCACCCCAGAGTGGAGGGGCTTCATCGAGAAGCATGTAGGTGCCATGGGGCATGGGGTGGCATCGCTGTTGGGGGAACACCTTCCCAGGCTTAGAGATGGGTCTGTGCTGCAGTGGGGTCCCCGTGTCACCACTGGGTTGGGACAGCCTGCAGGGGTGACCTCCAGGGCAGGGGTGCTCATAGCCTGGATGATGGTTGGTGGGTGCCCAAGTCCTGCAAACGCCTCCCCTTTCATCCCAGTTTTCTCTGTAGGTGCAGCCCACCATGGCCCAGTTTGAGATGGACACCTTTGCCAAGAGCCACGACCACATGTCCAATTTCTGGAATGCCTGCTACGATGCCATGATGAGCAGCTCCCAGCGGCGGGAGCAGGAGAAGGCGGCCAGCCGCAAGATGTTCCAGGTACTGCCTGCCCCTGGGATGTCACCCTGGGGATGTTCTCCTCATCCTGGGGACATGCTCCTCACCCCAAGGATGTCATCTAGGGGATGTACTCCTCACTCTGAGGATGTCACCCCAGGAACATGCTCCTCACCCTGGGGTCATTAATCCTGGGACTGTGCCCTTCATCCTGGGGAGATCCTCCTCTCAGTGGGGACGTTGCCCTCAGGGTGTGCTCCTCATCCTGGGGACATCATCCTGGGGATGTGCTCCTCACCCTAAGGATGTCATCCAGTGGATGTGCTCCTTGCCATGGGGATGTCACCCCAGGAATGTGCTCCTCACCCTGGGGACATTAATCCTAGGGATGTGCTCTTCAGGCCAAGGATGTCATCCTGGGGACATGCTCCTCACCCTGGGGACATTGTTCTGGGAGTGTGCTCCTCATCCCAGGAACATCATCATGGGGGTGTGCACCTCCCACTGGGGACGTGCTCCTCACCCTAAGTCCACCATCCCGGGGATGTTCTCCTTGCCCTGGGGTCGTCACCCCATGGACATGCTTCTCCCCTCGGGGATTTCCCCAAGCCCCAGCCCTGCTGTCGCTTCATTCTGCTGCTCTCTTGGCAGGAGCTGGTACTGGAACCAGCAGCGAAGCGCGCCAAGGCGGAAAACGCCCGGCACGCCAACGTGCTCAAGCAGGCCAACAACCACCACAGCACCGTGCTGAAGCAGTGGC